CCTGGCAAGCACAAGGTCGTGAGTTCAATTCCTGGTACCGGGTGTGTGTGGGGGGACAAAACCAAAAACAACAATTATCCTCCAACCTCAGCCTCCTAAGTAGCTGGGATTATAGGTGTACACTGCCATTCCCCAATTTATATCTATATTTAAAGCAATAAATATTGTCATTTTTTTGAGAAAGGATCTCACTATGGAGTGCAGGCTGGCTTGAACTCACTTATGTAGCCCAGGCTGGCCTTGAATTCATGGTGATCCTCCTGCCTCAGCCTCCCAAGTGCTGGGATTATAGGTGTGCACCACCATGCCCAGTTCAATAATGTTGTCATTTAAAACAAGCTATTTTTGTGGCCCCTTTTTTCCCACTTAGCAAAGTAGTATGAGATTCTTCTTGGGCTTTTTTTTGTTGTTGTTTTTGAGATTCTTGTTGCACTAAGGTTTTTCTATGGCATGTTTTTTAATAGCCATGTAATATTCCACTGCACAAGAACGTACTGTACATTGAATGCTCACCCTGATCAGAGTCCCTCACACATATTTATAAAGTCGACATTATTAACTCTGTACATTGAAAGAAACCAAAGATCAAAGGCTAAGTATCTACCCAGAATTAGAGCTAAGTAAGTAGTTGAGTCAGACCTTAAGCTGGGGCTTTTTTATATCAAAAGCTATGCCTTGTGCCCCCAAAGGCTCTTAGAAAATATCTGTTCAAGGCTCTAGCAATGACCTGTAGGTAGAAGCATCTGCCTGGTGGAACCTAGAGTGCTTTGCTCACTGTTTTAGTGTTACCAGTCCCCTGCCGAGAAGCAAGGGTCCCAGCACTGAGCTGTGGGCCCACATGCCTGGGAGCCTGAGACAGGCTCAGCGAATAGCGAGCTGCAGTCCAGGTGGGTTATTTAAAATGTACCCTTTTGAAGAAAATACAGAATAAAAAGCTAAGTAAATTTTCACCTGTCAGATTGAATGAAATCCAAAAATTGATTAGTCCCTCTGTTGACAAGCTGTAGGGAAATAATTATTCTCTACATTGCCAGTGAAAGTACAAATTGCCCCATGGAGGGCAGTTTGGCAAGAGCTATCAACATTACAAAAGCGCATATTCTTTGACCCAGCAGTTTCCGGTTCTGGGAACTTATAACCTGCACAGCACACATGCGATGTGATGTGTGTCTAAGGTTGTTGATTCCAGTGTTTGTAATAGAGAGAAACTGATGACAGCACAGATGTCCACCAGTAAGAGACCCAGCTAATAGATTATAGAACAGTATCTATATTATTTAAGTAATATACATTGGTGTAGCACATATACTTCATATTTCAGTGGCTTAATACACTAGAAATTTCTCCCTTACATAATGTCAACAGAGTGCTCCTGTATGAGAAGTAACTTAGGGATCCAGGCTCCTTTTATCTAAGGGTTCTATCTACCCTCTTTCACTCACAAATCCACATTGGCTATGTGTGTTAAGCCAAGAAAATGGAAAAGGATACAAGAGAAGTTTTATGGACTGGATTTGGGAGGAGATGTATTATCTTGGCTCACATGCTCTTGGCTAAAACTGCATCAAAAGGCCATATCTAACTGCTGGGAAGTAGCCTGGCTGTGATGATCAGCTCGCTACCCACCCAAGGTGAAGTCAGACGGAGCTGGAAGAAAGGAGAAGGAAGTTCTACCTGTACTAATATTGTTATACAAATATGTTAGACAAAGAGCCACTTGTAAAAGGAGGGGAGCAAGTATGTATTCGTGTTTACATGTACATGCATAGACAATCTCCGCGAGAACGCAGAAGAAACAATTAACTGTTGAGGGGGAAGGAAGTGGCCACTGTGTGCAAATGAAGCTGAGTAGGTGGCAGACTTTTCTGTATACTTCTGATTTGGGCAGTATATGGGTATTTTCACTAATTTTTTTTTTAAAAAGAAAAACCGGGCGTGGTGGTGCACGCCTGTTATCCCAGCACTCAGGAGGCTGAGGCAGGAGGATTGTTGCGAGTTCGAGACTAGCCTGGGCTACAAAGTGAGCTCAAGGCCAGCCTGAACTGCATAGCGAGACCCTGTCTCAAAAAGACCAAAATAAATAAATAAATAAATAAATAAGAAAGGAAAACTAAAAGAGGACATCAATCTACCCACGTTCCCGATCGATCTTAAGGTAACTAGTGAAGGGGAGGATTTAGGTACAAAGCCTTGGGCTAGAAACCGGGGACAGAAGGGGAGAGCAAGGCTTCCGAGCAGAGACAGCCCCAGAGCCTGGAGAGATTCCCAAGCCCAGAAGCAGGTGGCTGCAGTGGCTTTTTATATAACCATGCCCTGAAAGCTTGTGAGGATAACCAGAAATAGGCACTTGCAGAGCAGTTAAAGCGAACAGACTTTCTCTTCCTCTGGGATTTGGATAAAAAAAAAACAGGACGATATTTAAGAAGGAGGTAGGACCTGGGTTGGTTTCTGCACAAGCAGTCCTTGCTCCAGAGCAGAGTGGAAGGGTGGCAGGAGCGCCCCGCTCCTGCCCTCAGCCGGGTCCTTGTCCCATCCCCAGGACGAGTGCACAGGGCAAGGAATCTAGAGTGTGGAGATTACCTCTTTTCTCAGCACAGTCCTGCACTGATGGCGGCCGTATGGAACCTGACAGTTTTTGTCTGTTCATCTATCCATAGACACCTGAATGTCTACCTTAGGCCAGGCACTGGTAGGTGGTCAGATTGCCCACCCACCCCCCCCCCTCCAAAAAAAAAACCACCAAAAAACATGGTTCTCAGAATTCCCGCCTACAGAAGGCTGTTTATACCAAGGATTCTGTCTGTTCTCTAATAAGCAAAGGGTTCTTTCCCCACCCTCCCCCTTGTGCTGTGGCTCAGACCCAGGGCCGTAGGCATGCTAGGCACATGCTCCACGTCTGAGCTACAACCCAAATGTCTGAATAGTTTGGTTTCCATGGACTCCCCCACTTGTGCCCTCGCCTCGTTCCCCTGCTAATTCTTCTTCGTGCCCCTGAGGGATTCCCTAAAAAGCATTCCTGAGTTTCTAGCATGACTAAACTCTCTTGCTTTCCTCAGGGCAGTATTGACACGAGCCGCGTGGCTGTGATGGGACATTCATTTGGAGGGGCCACAGCTATTCTGGCTTTGGCCAAGGAGGCCCAGTTTCGGTGAGTTTCTTTCTTTTTTTGTTTTTGTTTTTCTCCGGTATGGGGAATCGAACTCATGACCTTGCGCTTGCCAGGCAGGCGCTGTGCCGCTGAGCTAAATCTCCAGCTCCTTCGGTGGTGACGCTATTGCTGCTAGCTCCACATACCATTCACTCATCCAGCAATGATTTATTACACAAGTATTGTGTCCCAGGCACTGTTTAAGGGGTTGGGAAGTCAATGGTGAGGTCAGGAAAAAAAGGTCAAGCTGGGCACGGTAGCACATATCTGTAATGCTAGCTGCTCAAGAGCCTGAGGCAGGAGGATCGCAAGTTCAAGACCAGCATGGGCAACCTAGTAAGACCTTGTCTCAAATTATAATTAAGAAGGGTTGGGACTGTAGTTCAATGGTGCTTGGGTACAATCCCCCTTTACCAGGAAAAGAAAGAAGCAGGGAGAAGGAAGGAAAGATTTGATATCATGGAATTATGCTATCATGGGAGGAGAGAGACTAGTAAAGAAGTGAACAGGTGGTAAAATCCCCAGTACCTAAGTGTAGTGAGGAAGGTGACACAGGCTGATACAGTAGAGTGTCTGGAGGCTTCTCAGGGCAGGGACATAGATGAGACTTGACAGGCCTAGGAGATCATTCCAGCCAGCAGGAACAGCCAGTGCAAAGGCCCCGAGGAGGGAAGAAGCTGGCTCTGTCCTGGTGAGAGGAGCCTAGTGAGAAACAGTGAATTAAGACATGATCAGAGACTAGCAGGGACCATATCTCAGGGCTTTTTGGCCAGGATAAGGAAATTTAGATTTTTATTCTAAGTATAATGGAGAATAATTGGATTTTAAGCAGAAAAAAAAAAAAAAAAATCAATCTTACTTACATTTACAAAGAGCCTTCTGTCTACTCTGAGGAGTAGCCAGCAGGCTGAGGACTGGTTGGAGGCCGGCTGCGTCGGCATGAGGCTGAGAGGATGGATTTGCATTAGGCTGGGGGAGAGAAGGAATGGAGTCAAGATGTGTCTTAGGGTTTTCAGGACTTAGTGATGCGTGAGGTAAAGAAAAGGACAAGGGAAGGTTTTTCATTTGTGTATCTCTCACTTGAGTGGAATTTGAAGGTCCCTAATTGAGACAGAGAAGACTGGAGGTGGGAGCGGGGAGCTAAATCTTAGGGCCACAGTTTTGCCACAGGTGACATAGTTTTTGCCTTTGGCACCGAGGAGGCCGTTCCTGACCTCCCCGCCGCGTGGCTCTGGGCTTGTGTAGCACCTTGTGCACTTAGGGCAGTAAGCGCTCTTGTTTTGCTGCCTGGTCAGTCTCTCTCTCCTGCTGGCATGGAAGCTCCTGGAGAGCAGGAACTCTGTCATTTATCTCTGTGTCAGAAGCACAGCTTAGGCACTGTGAATTGTTAAATGAATGAGCTGCCACTGTGCATAACTTGAGTCAGCCATCTGAGATGAGGTCCAGGGAAGAGGTCTGATTCTTGTTCTCAGCGTAAACTCGAGAAGGATCTTTGGTAACAGGTAAAAGTCGTCTCTCCCAAGATTTTTTTTTTTTTTGTCTTTTTGAGACAGGGTCTCACTATGTAGTCCAGGCTGGTCTCGAACTCACAAATATCCTCCTGCCTCAGCCTCCCAAGTGCTGGGATTACGGGCATTTGCCACCACGCCCGGCTCTCCCAAGATTCTAAATGAAGGGTATGGGCCCTGGTGCCCACTTCTGGCTTTCTGAGACTTTAGAACCCCACCACTTCTCCTGCCACCCTAACTGTTCTTGGCTGGGTTTCTGTGTGGCAGTTCCAAATATCTGGTCCTCTTCCAGGTGTGCTGTGGCCCTGGATGCTTGGATGTTTCCTCTGGAACGGGACTTTTACCCCAAGGCCCAGGGCCCTGTGTTCTTTATCAATGCTGAGAAATTCCAGACGGTGGAGAGTGTCAACTTGATGAAGAAGATATGTGCCCAGCACGAACAGTCCAGGATCATAACTGTCCTGTGAGTGAGCCCCAAGGTCATGAGCCCGGTGCCCTGTCTATGTCCCACCCAGCCGTGGCCCCAGTGATTTCTTCTGGATCATCCAGAACTTCCTACCCATTGAGGGACTGTGTGAATCCTCCTGAACTGCAGTCTTACATCCTTCAGAATTTCATATCTGCCCCTCTTTTTCACTTCACTCCACCAACAGTGATTTTCTTTAATAGTTTATATGGCCTTATGACAGGACCTAGCTGGTGCTTTCTGGGATTGTGAGTTGTTGAGGAAGGGATGTGAGTCTGGGTGGGTTCCAGAGATCATTTTGGAATCTCACTGGGATCTCTTGAAGAGTGTGGATGTAATAGAACTTAGACATTCACCAGAAGGTTTTTAGAACTTTCATGAATACCTAAATTCACAGATACTACTTTAGCATATATTTTCTCCCGTAAACTATCTGTATTCTGGTCAACAGAAACGACATTTTCTTCACTTTCATCACCAGCATAATTGGTTGATTTTTGGGGGGAGCCATTTTTCACGGAGCAAACAATTTTTAGTGACCTTGGGACAGTGACTTTATAGGAGGTGGCACGGAGCTCCAGAGGCAGGGCTGCAGTCTCCCTGGTTTGCTGCTGCTCTGCACTTGAGCCAAACAGCACACATGCATCAGGGATCCCAGGTCTTGTTTCGGGAACCTGTGGACCTCTGCAATCACTCAGGTGGTTGGTTGAAAGCGTAGGCCAGCCAGGCGTGGTGGCACATGCCTGTAATCCCTGCACTTGGGAGGCTGAGGCAGGAGGATTGTTGCAAGTTCAAGGCCAGCCTGGGCTACAAAGTGAGCTCAAGGCCAGCCTGAACTGCATAGTGAGACCCTGTCTCAAAAAAAAAAAAAAAAAAAAAAAAAAAAAAGAAAGAAAGAAAGTGCAGGCCAAAACCCCACACACCAGAGTCTCTGATAGTCAGTGTCTTCTGCCCTCACCTTCTTGCGTGGCTCAGCCTCTCCCCCTGGGGCCAGCCCCTCTCCTCTCATTTTGATGTGGCACTGGAGGATACAGGCTGAGACATCCCCTAGGCCTGTCCAACTTGGACAGTAACCGCCTGTGCAGAAGGGAGAAGACAGTTGGAATAGGGCTCACAAGCAAGACTTAGCTACTGGCAGTGTATATTTCTTTTTCTTTTTCTTTTCAGTGCTGTGGATGGAACCAGGGCCTCATGGCTATTGAGCAAGTGCTGTACCACTGAGCTATACCCCCAGCCTGGCAATGTATTATTCCTTAAACTGAGAGCTGAATACTCAAGTATTCACTGTTCTATACATTTTTTGTGTCCCTTAAGTAATGTATGTTTTAAATTAATTTTTCTACATGGTATCAGATAGTTGCTTTTTTGTTTTTCTTTTTGAGACAGAGTCTCACTAAGTAGTTCAGGCTGGCCTTGAACTCACAGCAATCCTCATGTCTCAGCTTCCCAAGTGCTGGGATTACAGGCGTGTACGACCACCCCTGGAAGCGTGGTATCAGATAGTGTAGCATTTAAATTTTCCTTCCCTCATTGAATTGTGTAAGGAATTTAATTATGAGTAATTTATCCCAGAATGAACCAAGTTCAATCTGGTAAAAAGTATTAGAGCCAGAGGACTTAATCCAAAAACTCACTACTACATGCACTTGCCCTCACTTTTCTGATTATTTAAACAAAAGCAAGTAATTCCTTTTCTCTGCTTATTCCATGATACAGTCCTGACAAGGAGCTAATGTGTTTTGTAAGTGTTTGGAGGACACCGAATGAAAGCTATGACAAAACAGACTCCAATAACACAAGAATGTCAGGTGCTGGAGACCTGGCCTCTCTGCCTCTCTTCTGGCTCCGTCAAGCTCAGCCTTTTCCCAGCACTGTCAAGCATTGTGTTCTAGGGGCTGAGCCACCTTTGAGGTGTGCTCACCTGAATTCAAATCTTAGCTGTGCCCCCTGCTGTCAGCACGCCCCTGGGGAGACCACTTGTCTCCTCTCAGTCTGTCAGAGGGGATGATGCATCCTTCACAGGCTGGTGTGAAAATTACGCATGGTAATGTGTGGAAAGCACCTTGCACACAGTAGGTGCACATGTGTATGCCTAACCTCCCCGCCCCCACCCCAACCTCTACCAGTTGTTTTTCTTTTCCTCTAGTGGCTCTGTCCATCGGAGTCAAACTGACTTCGCTTTTGCAACTGGCACCTTGATTGGTAAATTCTTCTCTGCTCAAACCCGAGGGAGCCTGGACCCCTACCAAGGTCAGGAGATTATGGTGCGGGCCATGTTGGCTTTCCTGCAGAAACACCTCGGTAAGGAGTGGACCGGGGCCTGTGGGACAGATCTGGGACCCTTCGAGTTTCTCCGCAGCACAGTGGTCTATCCGCAGTGGTCTATGGTTGGGGTCTGAGTGAAAGGAGACTTACATAGAAGTAGAGAAAAAACATTTACCTGAAAGTTGGGAGACTCGAACTCTTACGAGGTATGTGACCCAGGCCTAGTCATTTAACCTCCCTCAGCTTTGATTTCCTTCCTGTAAACAGGCCATTCACCTCTTTCTACCATGTGTGTCCGAACCTAAACTTAGCAGTCATCTGAGGGGCATTGTGAGGAGCTTGTCATGATAACTGGGCTAAATATATGGAAGTGCTTTAAAGAAACCAACATGGATGGAGTGTGACTAATGTCATCAATCACAGACCAGCTAACTGGCAAGGCCTTTAGAGGTCTCTGGCCCAGCTTCCACCCAGAGGAAGTGTCCTCTCCTGTTACGTCTTCCCCTGATGTACAGTCAAGTCCTCCTTACCACTGCAAACTTAGGCAGTTTTAAGAGTTGAAATTCTAGCCGGGCATGGTGGCACACGCCTGTAATCCCAGCACTCAGGAGGCTGAGGCAGGAGGATCATTGTGAGATGGAGACCAGCCTGGGCTACAAAGTGAGCTCAAGGCCAGCGTGAACTGCAGAGCGAGACCCTGTCTCAAAGAGACCATACATAAATAAATAAGAGTTGAAATTCTAGGTAAGATTTTTTGGTCTGTAAAGACTGGAAATTCACTACTTTTCCTTGAGGAACAAAATTTGTCTAGCAGGGTACGGCTGGACCGGGGGTCTGTGCAGGATTACAGAAGCTCGGGTCTGTGAGACTAACCTCTCACACAGTCTGTCTCACAGCCCCACTTTCAATCCCTTCGTCTTATGGCATCTGTTTCTCCATTTTTGTTGTTTTGGTCCCAGTCTACCTTTTTCTTTCTTTCTACCCTGTATTTCTCTCTTGCTGATACCATCCATTCATTCAGTTCTACTGCCGTATAACCCCCACTTGGTTTCAACCACTTGTGGCTTATTCAGTCTGCCTTGTGGGCTTATGCCTTTCCTCTTTAGCTTGTACTGCTCATAGCCATATTTTTTGGACTTCTTACATCAGATTCCCAAGAGAGACAAATTGACCTATATCAGCTCATCTTTGCCCACCAAAGCATTGTAGGCTAACTGTCCGACCTAGGCCTAGAGCACTCTTGATCAGATGTCCCTTTCCGAAGCAGTCAGAAGGAGAGGGATACCGTTACCTGCATGAGGTTGAACCTTCCTCGCAGGAGCTGGGCACAGGAGGGCCCAGGCTCTCCTGGACTGCTAAGGTTTGACCTCTGATCTAACAGCAAGATGTATACGTTGTGCCCTGCACTTGGCCTGTTTATCCTTCAGGAGTTGGCCAAAGAAGCCTTAGATGGCACATGGCAGTTCTTTGGATATTTGAAGTCACCTCTGAGGCCCTCTCTGAGTTTTCTGTTCATTAAGTTAAAATTCCCTGCTTCCTGCATCATTTCCCTGTTTGTCCGCCGTGCTACCACTCACTGTCCCCTTCCTTTGGATGTGTTGTCAGTGCCCCTTTTAAAGGGTGATGCCCTGACTTGCATATGGCATGCTATGGTCAGACAAACTGGATTCACATTTCCTGCGCATGTGCAACAAATTTGAATTGGGTTGAGTCTGCTTTAGAAGTATACATGTCCTGCCAGGCATGGTGGCACATGCCTGTAATCCCAGCACTCTGGGAAGCTGGGGCAGGAAAATTACAAATTCAAGTCCAGCCTAGGTAATTTAGTGACTTAGCAAGACTATCTCTCAAAATAATAAATAAATAAACAAACAAACAAATAAATAAATAAAAAGGGATACAAATGTAGCGCAGTGTGGAGACCCTGGGTTCAATCCTCATCACCGGAGGAGGGGGTGTACATCTATCCTATTGTTAGTATACTGACATTTTGAACTGAATTTGCATTTGTAAATTTACACCTGTCTATTCCATCTTGCGCATCTGAGCCATTATTCGAGCCTGAACTTTAGAGACTTTAGGATTCACAGAGATGTTAGAACGTCATTTTTATCACCTGGCAGGAGGGAATGGATCACATCCCAAGACTCACATAGTGCCTGGCCGCCGGGTCCTCAGCCCACTTTCCCTGTGTCTGCGTGGGCTGCGCAGGTGTAATGACCACGTCACTGTAAGACCTTAAACGTGAAGGTGACGGGGAGTCCAGTGTGCGTGACTGGACTCCCTTTAGCAGCAGTGCCTGTGGAGACCTGCAGAGGCGGGAAGAGGCGGCAGAGATTAGACTGTAGGAAGACTGCTGAGGACTTGACTTATGCCAGGGACTCTATACCAGCAGTACCACGCAGGATTTAGATGGAGGATCACATGTAATTCTGAAGACAGCCCTTTCTAGTAGGTACTGTTATTATTAACTTCATTTTCTAGATGAAGACACTGAAGCTCAGAGTATCTGTTTAATTGTTCGAGGTTATCTGGTTATTAACTGGCAAAGCCAGTGTGCAGCGCAGGTGGTCCAGTTCCACAGCCCTCGCTCTTCCTCGCTGCACTCTGCTGCTGGTGATTCTGATGACGATAGGAGTGGTAAATTCATGACCACAGTGTGCGCTCGGTCTAGGGAGACCTGGGGACAGGCACCTAACCGGTGGGAGAGGAAGAACAACCGAGAAAGGGGGCTTCTCGGCCGGGGTGATGCTTGCCTTTGAATTCGATGGACGAAGAGAGTCCAGAGGCAGGGAAGGGGCAAGGGTCTCTTGGCAGAAAGCACAAACCCTTATGTGGGCTTGATCACTTGGGAAACTAGTTAGTGTATCTGGAACTCAGGCTAGTGAGCTTTTGAAAGGCAAAGATAGAGAAATGGTCAGAAGGTAAACACAGAGGCTCATGTATTTGCCAAAATAAGTTTGAGCCAGGCCTGGTAGTGCACACCTGTAATCCCAGCACTTAGGAGGCTGAGGCAGGAGGATCACTGAGTTGAAGCCAGCCTGGACAAGATAGTGAGTTCAAGGCCAGCCTGAACTACATAATAAGACCCTGTCTCCTAAAAGGGTAAGTTTGAATTATATTCACAGGCTGTAATGAGCCATGGGTGGGTTTTCAGTGGAAAACCATGACTAGGCTTGTGTTTGCAGGTGGTCTGCATCCTGAGGATGGAAATGGAGTCAGAGGCAAAGAGCGCAGCTGAAAAGTTTTTGCAGTGACCCAGGTGATAGGACATAAGATAGAGACAGCATAACGGCCACCGCTCTGCTCTCTGCTGGGGCTAATTAGCTTTACAAAGAAGAAAGGCTTTCTGGTAGCCACCTAGTGTGTTGTCCCTTAAGAAACTAAAATAGGCTCCAAGTGGCTCAGCCACACCTCACTCCTGAAAATCACCTCAGAAGAGTGCACACACGTCCTGCTGATTCCGATGTCACCTCCCCGGAAGAGATTGCTGCCTCCTAGGTATTAACTACACACACGGCTCCTGTCTCCATCGCCTCTTCCTCCCTCCTGCCACCCTGGAAGATGATTTCACACCTTCTCCTTCCTCAAACCTCTAGCGCCTCTTCCCTCAGCTCCAGCTGAGTAAGTCTGCCTCCCGCTTCACTGCGCCCAGAGCCGCCAGCACTTCCTCAGCCTCTGCACGCCACGCCCGCCCTCTTTCCTGTGTGGACCCGCAGTTTCTCGCTCTTTACTTTAGGTCATCAGTTTTTCCCTCTCTACTGGTTCGTTTCTCTTGCCTTATTTTAAAAAAAAGAAAAATTCTTGGGTTGGGTGTAGCTCAGTGGAAGAGCACTTGCATGTGTGAGGGTCTGGGTTTGAACACCAGCACTATAAAAAAGAAAAACCCTTGACCTCAATATGTCTTCCATTTCCTTTTCCCCCATAACAGCAAAAAACAAAATTCCTCAGAACAGTATCTTTACTTTTTTCCTTTTATTTTTTTTGGTGGGCGTGGGTGTGTGTGGTATGGGGGGGTGTGGGTGTGGGGAAGTGGTACTGTGGGATTGAACTCAGGCCACTGCCCTGAGCTACATCCCCACCCCCTCCTTTCTGAGCTGAGTCTTGCTAAATTTCCAGATTGCCCAGGTTGGGCTCGAACTTGTGATCCTCTGACCTCAACCTCCCAGAGCTCTGGGATTACGGGCGTTTGCCACCATGCCTGGCTTGTCTTCCTTTTTCTGATTTCTCTCTTCCTGTTCTCTGTAAAACCCACTCCATTCAGGCTTCTGTGACATGGTGCTCCTTGAAAACTGGTGACCTTTGCAGTGCTAAATCCAGAGCCAGTTCTCCCTGCTCTGCTACTGGAACTCGGCAGCTCCTGGGAGGCTGGACGATGCCCTCTTCTGGAAGTCCTGTCTCTGCTTTTCATACAGCTGGGGATTTTCTCCTGTGTCGTTATGTTCTCTTTGGCCAACATTGCTACTTCCAAGGCTCGTGCTTGGATCATGGCTTAGTCTGTTTTCTTTTCTTTTTTTGTGTTAGTCTGTTTTCTGTTGGTATAACAAAAACGCCTGAAGCCGAGCACTTTATAAAGAAGAGAGGCTTATTTAGCTCGTACTTCCAGAGATTGAAGAGCGTGGTGGTAGCTCTGTCCTTTGAAGTCACTCCTCACAGAGGCTTCCTCCTTTCTCCTACACCTCCCACCCAGCCCTCTGAAAACCCTGCTGGCACCTGAAGTCTAGTCACTTGTCTCCATCCCCGCAGCTACCATGCCCTCCAAGTTGCCTCTCGCCTAAATAGCAGCAGTACTTTCTATCTGGTCTCAGCTTGCTCCAGTTCCCCAAGAAAGTCTTCTAGAAGAGCAGCCAGAGTGGTTCTTCTGGAAGCAAGTAGATCTTTGTCACTCCTCTGCTCAGAATCCTTAGTGGCTCCCCGTTATTCTGAGAGTTGAAGCCAGCCTTTCATCCTGCGGGCCTGTGTGACATGGCTGCCCAGTCCCGCCCGGCCTTTCCTGGTGCTCCTCCCCTGGCCGACTACTTCACCGAGCACGCAACCCTCAGTGCTCCCAGCACCGCCTGCCTCAGAGCCTTCACGCCGCAGCCCCCTCTGCCTGGAGCGTCCCTCCCAGATGTTCTTGCTCACTCCCACCTCCTGCACGTCTTGGCTGAAATCTCAGCTTCTCAGTGAGGCCCACTCGGCCGCCCTTTTTGAAACATTCTACCCTCCCGTCCACCCCCAGTCACCATCACGGCTTCCCTCATATGGACCTTTTTGTGTTCCCGTAGCATTTATGCCTTTTCGCATCCTACATGATTTAATATGTTTATGGTTTATCTCTGCCCGCTTGATTATGAGCTCTCTGAGGATACGTGTTTGTCTGTTTTGTTCTTGGACATATTTTTAGCACCAAGAACAGTGTGGCATATAGTGAGCATGCTCATTTTTTTTTTTTTATGGTACTGGTTTTTTTTTTTTCTTTTGTAGTTCAGAGTCTTCACACAGAGCTACATCCTCCCCCTTTTTCATTTTTTAATTTTGAGACAGTGTCTGAAGTCATGAGTTGCTCAGTCTGGGCTCAATTTTTTAAAAATCTTCTTTCTTCCTTCTTTTGTTGCTTTCTTTTTCTTTTCTCTTTTTTTTTTAAAAAAAAAAAAAACAAGGTCTTCCTATTGCTCAGGCTGACCTTGAACTCCTGAGGTCAAGTGCTCCTGCCTCAGCCTCCCAGGTGGCAGTGGCTATAGGTGCGTGCCACTGCACCTGGCTTGGGTTAATGAATGTGTAGCACTGTATGCTGAGGACCTATTCCCGGGCAGGTTCTTGGCAATGCACTGGGGATCCAAAGATGAATGTGAGTGGTCCCTCCCTCTCTCCCAGGTTCTGTTTGTCCCAAGCTGTTTGCCTCTCAGCTGTACCCTCCTCCCTTGGCCTGACAGCCTGACCTCATTCTGACTCTTCCCGCTGTGTAATTAGACCTCTCTGCTCACAATCTCAGGGCCCTCTTGAATTATGCCTGGTGTTAGGCGGCTCCGTGATGTTGCTGCCCTGTTGCTCTGCTCTGGGGTGACACTTGCCTTGCATCTGCTGGCTGGGGGACTGGAAACCTCTTCTTGCTTACTAATATTCCTGAGGCTGGAAGCAGCCTTCATTTTCTCTGCCTTTCTTTTTTTTTTTTTTTTTTTGGCTTTTTGAGTCAGGGTCTCACTATGCAGTTCAGGCTGACCTTGAGCTCACTTTGTAGCCCAAGCTGGTCTCGAACTTGCAATGATCTTCCTGCCTCAGCCTCCCGAGTGCTGGGGTTACAGGCATGTGCTACCATGCCTGGCTCTCTGCCTTTCTGACCTGGGTTTAAATTCCGTCCCTACCACTTGGCAGCTGTCATGACCTTGGGCAAATTAGGTCGTTTCCTTCAGCCTTACTTTTCTCAACCATAAAATACGTCAAATGGAGCTGGGCGTGGTGGCGCATGCCTGTAATCCCAGCACTCGGGAGGCTGAGGCTGGAGTTTGAGACCAGCCTGGGCTACAAAGTGAGCTCAAGCCAGTCTGAACTCCATAACGAGACCTTGTCTCAAAAAAGACCCAAAAAAAAAAAAGGTCAAATGGTAGTACTCAGCCTGTGGGGACATTGTGAATATTGCAGTGAGTACGTATAAAGCAGTGAGCTCTCCTTCATGAAGTGCTGCCCTTTGGGCCTATTCTCAAGTTGCCAAGGACTATGTAACTTGTTTTTAAAGGCAGTACCACCGCCATTAAAACCACTGTAACCAGTCCTTTTGGTATTCCATAATGCTTCCCTCTTGAGGACAGCCCACTGAATTCGTGATACCAGCTCTTGAAGCTAATCTTATAAGAACCTGCCTAATTCCTTTTCTCCCCATGCAGACCTGCAAGAGGACTACGACCAGTGGAACGACCTCGTTGAAGGCATTGGACCATCGCTCACTCCAGGGGCCCCACACCATCTGTCCAGTCTATAGGCACAACTAGCTGTTTATGGAAGGTCACTTGAGCTGAGTTTCCATTTGCGGGCTGCCCAGGAGCACCCATACTCTATCAGGAAGTGGTCAGCATGACCATTCGGCACGGATTGAGAGGATATAATCACACTGCTGATTGGATAACTGGGTACTTTAATCTTGGACTTGATGTTAAACTCACATTGGGACAGATCACTGGTTGATTGGCAGACTGACTCTCTGGGGCCTGAACCCTGACGGTGTGGGGGACAAGCGGTGAGTTGGGGCTGGAAGTGCCGGCCTCCAGGCTGAGCCTGGAAAGCCTGGAGTGAAGACACCCTGGTGGGCCTACTCCCTCACTGTGGGCCAGGGTTGCTTCTTTAGCAGAAGCCAAGGGACAGAGTGAAAATCTTTGGGCCCCTCGCCTGGCCTGGCACTCTCTTGCTTCCTACCTCTCAACCTTCTCCCTCACAGGGTCACTTGCTGAAGTATGAACACTTCAGGTAGCTTTCTAGGATATGGGCCGTCATCACATTTGCCATTTATTTTCAAGTGTTCCCACTGCAAGAAACAGCCTCGGGCACTTAGTCCTGAGTGACATGAGCCCACAGGGAGCAGACAGTATTGTTCTCATAACACAGGAAGAGACACACAGGCCCAGAAGCTCTGGGTGTCTTTGGGGTGTTGCCAAAAGTGTGTCCTGACAGGAACCAACATGAGGAGGTTGGGATGAGCAGGTAGAATAACGGTGCTTAGTAGCCATTCACACAGGCCCTTGCCACAAGAGGGAGGTGGTTTGGTCAGCATAAACCCAGGAGGCCACTCCTAGAGAAGTCTAGGGTCAGCTTGGTCTTGCCTCCTACCTCAGATACCATGAACCTCCAACTTACTCAGAATCGGGGTGCTTTCATTGTCTGTTTTGCTTCAAGGGTCTTGGCCCAACTTTAAGTCAGGATACTAGATTTGCATTCTGTTCCATTTATAATTTAAGTGATACTGATACTCACGTTTGCCTAACGATATGTTAGAATATTTTCTCTATTTAATCTGCATTAGAGCAAGATGGAGAGCCATCTGGGAGTGACTTTTCCTTCTGTTTTTCTTTGTTCACTAACCACTCTGTGAAGAAAAAAAAATCTTTAAAAGAAAAGGAAATCTTCCTAGAGGTGTAGTTCAAAGCTGGATGGGAATGTCCACCCAAGACCCCAAGACTTCTCACTTTAGTCCAAAGAAGGGGACCCCAGGAGAGGCTAGAACAAAAGAGAAGTGTGCTTCTGCATGGTAGTTCAAGGTTAGGGCTCCCAAAGCAAGCTGTGATTTCTAGTGAGACACAGGGTCAGGAGGAAATGATTACAACCCTGGGTTCTGGAGTGAGATAGTCTGCTTCCAGGTCCTAGTTCCACCACTGCCAACTGGATAAATTTGAACAAATGATATGCTTTTTCCAATCTCAATTCCTGAATTTCTAAAATGAGGGTCTACCTTACGAATAGTGGGGAGAATTAACTGAGAGGGTATATAACCCATGGGTTATTAAAATGTATGTTTTCTACTTTCCAAATACAGGAGGGTTTTCTAAGTTATAGTTATTATTTTCTAGATGAATTGCTTTGTGGTCAGAGAAAATGACCCATTTGATTTCCATCCTTCAAGATTTATTGAAACTTAATTGTTGGCCCAGTGTGAGGTCGATTTTGTAAATGTTGCACATATACTTAAAAAAAAAAAAATCTGTCTACTCCGAAGTTGTTGGCTTGCTTTTTTCTCAACAACGCACCATGGATTTCATGTGGTAAGAGCACACACGTGGGGATAAGAGCCCCAAAGTGGGGGCCAGAGCCCCTCAGCACTCAGGAGCAGCCCTAGGCCAGCGCCGTGCTGGTACAGCAAGTGCTGAAGGGCTGGTTCTGGCAGCAGTAGCGTGTGAGACCCAGTTTCTGTCTTAGACCCATAAATAATGCAGGTGGGCTTGCTGAGGCCCTGAAAAGGAGACCTGGAAGCTTCTAAGAGAAAGGAGTGGTTCAGGTTCAGGAACCAGAGCCCCCTCCATCCAGTTCAGGTTCTGGTAATGACTCATTTATCCAGCAGTGCTGACTCTTGAATGGTAATCTACCTAAAAGATAACACACATTCTTCTTCTTCTCCCTCTCCCTCTCCCTCTCCCTCTCCC